CTGCCGCCGTTCTACGTCCTTGTGTACGTCGACGACTTGGTCTTTGCTACTGCTGACACTGTGGCACTCGCCCACGTGAAGTCGGAGCTGCAGAAGAGACACACGTGCACAGACCTGGGTGAACTGACAAGCTATCTTGGCTTGCGGATCACCCGGGACAGAGCACGCCGCACCATCACCTTGACTCAGTCACACATGGTGCAGCAGGTCCTTCAGCGCTTCCGCTTCACGTACTCCTCGCCTCAGCCCACTCCTCTGCCTACCGGTCACTCGCTCTCAGCTCTGCCTTCGGATGAGTCCGTAGAGCCGAGTGGCCCGTATCCAGAGCTTGTGGGTTGCCTCATGTACCTGATGACCTGCACTCGACCAGACCTTGCATACCCTCTCAGCATTCTTGCACGCTATGTCGCTCCCGGCCGTCACCGGAAGGAGCACATGGATGCAGCTAAGAGGGTGTTGCGCTACTTGTGCAGTACGTCGGGCATGGGGCTAGTGCTTGGAGGGCGAGTCCCAGTTGTTCTCACTGGGCACTCAGACGCTTCTTGGGCAGACGACCAGGCTACTCAGCGGTCGTCTCAGGGTTACTCCTTCAGTCTTGGCTCTGGTTCTGTTTCTTGGCGTTCTACTCGCTCTTCTTCTGTTCTCAGCTCCAGTTGTGAGGCTGAGATCTACGCCACAGCCATGGCGGCCCAGGAGCTACGCTGGCTCACCTACTTGCTGACCGACCTTGGAGAGCAGCCTCGTTCTCCTCCAGTGCTGTACGTCGACAACAAGGCAGCCATTGCCTTGTGTGAGGAGCACAGACTGGAGCACAGAACGAAGCACATTGCTCTGCGTTACTTCCTCGCTCGAGAGCTGCAGCAGCGTGGTCAGCTTCGCCTGCGTTACGTGGCCTCTGAGGCCAACACTGCTGATGTGTTCACCAAGGCGCTTCAGCCTTGTGACCATCAGCGCTTTTGCACTCTTCTAGGCCTTGTGCCTACTGGACCTCACTTGCTTACTTCTTGAGTCTGTTGTACTGTGATCTCTATATATAAACCTGCATGTGAACTGGTCTTGTGACCACTTGCTTGTGCTCGGAATTTGTGTGGTATCCTTGAGATCCACCCTGAGCTTGTTTTGCCTTGCTTTGCCTTGACTGGTCTTGTGACCCCTAGTTCTCCCCACTTTGCCTATGGGGGTGTGTCAAACATTATATATGTTGTGTTAGTTTAGGCTACAGTGGGTTAGCCTATAGGGGGTACACAATTCTAGGGTTAGGTACTTGTACTCTTTTCATTGCTAGTTCATTCATTCCTGTTCAGTGATTCCAACACCTGTCTATGATAGCAACAAAGGGCCATAAATGAAATCCTTGTATTCAATATCATACACATGCGGGATATTTTATATGATTAATCACTAAAACGTATACATTCAATTGCATTTAAGATCTGGTAAAATATACTAACAGCCATACTGGTCACATAATTTGATGCATCAACTTTATGGGACTTCAATTTTCTCTTTTGAACAAAGGAATGGTGGTAAAAAATACATCCAGACGTTGGCGAGTTGACATGTTACGCACAGGCCTATTCTTGCATAGTTCGAGACCAGCAAACGCACGAACAAGCGACAGGAGCTACGTAGTTGAGCGAACGAGCTCAAACCAGTTCCTATGGCAAGGGAATAGGATGCACTTCCCTAATGTGTAAATAAATAGTGTTAAAAAAGGCATCCAGACGTTGGCGAGCTGCCATGTTGAGCGCATGCCTATCTTTGCGCAAATTTACCATGAAACGCACGAACAAGCGCCACGTGCTGCGTAGTTGTGCGAACGAGTTCAAACCAGTTCCTATTGTCAAACTTATATGATATAGTCTGTGTAGGCTGTAGTGGGGTAGATAATATGGGGTACAACACTTTTAGGTTTTCCTACTTGTACCAACATGTTTCCTAGTGCATTCATTCATCGTTCTTTCACATGGTATAGAGCAGGTTCCCTAGTGGGAACGTTTCCTAGGGCCCACCGAAAATTGGAGTTTTTTTTTTCCTGCCCGGAGCGCGCTTCGCCCCTGCCCGATTCGCGCCCCGTGTGCCTGCCCTCGGGGTGTGTCAAACTTATATGCTATAGTCTGTGTAGGTTGTAGTGGGGTAGATAATATGGGGTACAACACTTTTAGGTTTTCCTACTTGTACCAACCTGATTCCTAGTGCATTCATTCCTCGTTCTTTCACACCTATGGCTAGGGAATAGAATGTAATAGGGAATTGTGCGAAGAAATAGAGGTAAACAGATTTTCTAGACGTTGAAACGGTGACATGTTGCATACAGGCCTATCCTTGCACAGATTCACCATGGAACGCACAAACATGCGCCACGTGCTGCGTAATTGTGCGAACTAGCTCAAACTAGTTCCTATGGCTAGGGAATAGGATGTACTAGGGAGCTGTGCGAAGAAATAGAGGTAGAAATAACTTCCAGATGCTGAAACGGTGACATGTTGCGTACAGGCCTATCCTTACACAGATTCACCATGGAACGCACAAACATGCGCCACGTGCTGCGTAATTATGCGAACTAGCTTAAACCAGTTCCTATGGCTAGGGAATAGGATCTAATAGGGAACGGTGTGAATAAATAGTGGTAAAAATGGCATCCAGGCGTTGGCGAGCTGACATGTTGCACACAGGCCTATCCTTGCACAGATTCACTATGGAACGCACAAACATGCGCCACGTGCTGCGTGGTTGTGCGAAAGAGCTCATACAAGTTCCTATGGTTAGGGAATAGGATGTAATAGGGAACTGTGCGAAGAAATAGAAATAAACAAAACATCCAGACGTTGAAACGGTGACATGTTGTGCACAGGCCGATCCTTGCACAAATTCACCATGGAACGCGCAAACATGCGCCACATGCTACGTAGTTGTGCGAACTAGCTCAAACAGAGATAAACGGGGATCGAGGGGGGTAGTCTTAAATGAATAGAAGAGGCTTCGACAATCTGCTGCAATTCCTCGTCACACACGATAATAAACTGTCGGGAAAAACGGTGCACCAGATATCACCGAATAAACGATAAAAAACCATCAGCCTCCAACTCGAAAAATGACCATTACTCGGCAGTTTCACATTTTTCTGATGATTGGCACAATCTGAGAACATTTGCAAGCAAGTCAGAGGAAAAATATGAATTTAGCATATACAAAATCGTTTTACAGTGGCGTTTTACATACTAAACCAATATTGGTAACTATAGAGTACACATTTACTTACCATACGGGGATTCATTTCGCCTACTGTTTGCGGAACGAAAAACCGCATACTGAAAACCCTTTCCCGATTTTTGAGATGTGCAGGGCAAGACCTTGCTCGAGGAGGAACCGCTGGCATTCGGCTTGCATTTGCGACTCGAGATTACCAGAAATCCCCAAATGGACGCCGTGGAAAGCAGACTGCACACCACGGTTTCCCCACTCCCACCCACCCCCCCTCAATGTCACCACTGCCTGAAACAAGCTGTATCATCCGCCACCGCCATACCTCACGAGTTCTGGTCAATAGAGAAGTTACAGTATGTTGTTGAATGCCTTATCCGCCCCAAGATTTCGGCAAAGAGGAGGCGAAGAAGCCATTTATTAGTGAGATTACCCTTCGGCCTCAAAGCCTCGCCATCTACTGTCTCCACGAACAACATTTACAGTTGCACATCCTACTCGACCAGAAATAGAGATCGTCCCTCAAGGCCTAGCATACTTCAAGCCCGACATCTGGTACGGCGCATGCTACACAGCACGCGACCAGCTGATGTTCTTCGTGAGAAGCGGCTGCAATGTCGTGCGTAACAAATGATAATATTCGTAGTGCTATGATTCGTTCTTTAGGAGGCGAGTTTGAGTGACCGTGCTTTCAGCTTCCCTTTCCCGGCGACATACCCGCCCCATACTCACCTCGCGCTCACCATCATACGGGCGCGGAAAATGTCGCGGACCATTGCGCAGGAAGGCTTCCACCGTCGCCCTGCTCTCCCCCGGAGCCCTCCCCCCGGTCGCACATCAGACACGCCCACGAGCCCGTCCTCCGCCGCGTGGCGGAGGAAGCCGCACGCTCCCCGCCGAGTGGCGGGATTTCGTCCTTAGTGAACCGCGCAGCAGCTCGTTGCATCCAGACTGGCAGTCCCTTCGACAAGTACGATGCGGCTGCGACGGAGCGAGCGGAATTGGTACTACTATTAACGCCGCGGGGTCCTCAAATTAGGCAGAAAGCGCGGGCGAGCTTGGACATGGCCGCGGCGGTCAGCACGTGCCGTACCTCTGGCATGATGCGTAGGAGCAGCAGCACTACCAGCAGCAGCGGCAGCAGCAGCAGCAGCAGCAGTGGCAACGGCTACCGTGGCAGAGGAAGGGGCAGCAACAGCGAGAACAGCCGTCCTCGTCGCAACAGTTACTGCGAAGAATATCGACCGCCGAGTGGTAACCTGTCGCCAAGTGGCGTTTGTAACCCGAGGTTGACATCATGGCCCGGAGGCGGTGCGCGAATGAGAATTTCGCGATCTGCCGCAGACCTCGCCACGTTGAATACCCTCGCGGAGCGCGAGGAGTCCGGGGCGGCAGAGGATATTTTAAAACTTAATCCTCGATGTGCATGGCGCGCAACAAGTCGCACAGGCGGTGGCAAAGCCATCGGAAATGGGAGCGGCGGCAAAGACGAGCTGCCGCTGCTGCCGCTGCGGGAGTCAGCCAGACGGAAATCGCAAGACTCTATCGTCAGAACGCCCTTCCGGATCGAGGAAAGCGATCGCAGTGAGGATGAGGTGTACCGAACCTCGTCCTGTCGAAGCTCTAATCGAAGCTCGTCCTATCGAACCGCCGACGTGTCGTCGTATCAACCACGTGGTCTGTTTGACAAACTCTCTGACTCCAATGCCGAATCCAGCGCGCATGTCCACCAACATGGAATGGGTTCCGCCGTAACTGGGGTGGGAGGACCGTGCGGAGTGCGGGACGGGCGGAAAATGCGCCTCAGCCTGAGTGATTCTGTCGACGATCATCCCGCCAGCGCCAATCATGCCAGAACGCCGCGCGCCTGCAGCCGCCGCACGGTCACGTGGTCCGCCGCGGAGAAGAAGGAAAATGGGATGCGCGGAGTCGCCGCGGCAGGCAGCACCGCCGCCCCTGTGATGCGGGTGGAGGACGGCGCCGCGCGCGCCGCGCGCGCGGCGGGGTTCTTGGACGCGCTGATTTCGTTGAAGAGCGCGCAGATTGACGCAGTGAGGCGGGAACGCGTGCAGATGAGCGCGGAACTGGCGGAAGGGGTGACGCAGGTGCGGAGCATGGAAACGGGGATGGCGGAGCGACGACGTGTTATTGAAAGCCTCATTGCACGGATATCGGAGAAGCAGGACATGAAATGTAAAGACAGAGCGACGGGCGGGAAGGGTACATTGGGGGAAGCGGTTGAGGGGGAAAGCACGGAGGATGACATGGGAAGCCTATATGATGACGAAGACGAAGATATGCTGGAGGTTGTGGGGTATGATGGGGTTGGGAGCAGCGCGGAGGAGTTAAGGGCGATGCTAAAGGTCGCGATGCGCGAGATGATGACTGACTTGAGACAACTGGAGCTCGCCGCCCTTCACGCTCAGTACCGAAGCGGTGAGATACGAGGTAAGCACGGCGAGCAGAGAGCATGCATGCGTTTTATTATTCTTCAAGCTGATTTGGCATGCTCGTTGTTTTACAAGCTTCTGCGTCTTTTGAGATTGTCTGAACCGTGTTTCTGTCATCATGTCTCAATTGCAGGCGATATGCGGCATAAATCCACGGAGATGGTGGGCATGAGAGAGGCGAGGGAGCAGCTGGTGCGGCGGAAAGACCGGCTGGTGCGGCAGCAGCTGCTGCTTCCTGCTGGCTAGAGAGCTAAGGCCGACAGGGGAAGATGTGTGGAGAGAAAGGTGTCAAGCAAGATTGGTAGGATCGCGCAAGTACGTCCATTTTGTATGGGCAGTTTATGTCCTCATTTTCGTCTGATAGGAATTTTCTACCCCTGCATGACCAAAATTCAAAGCCTATAAGATTAGTACTTGTCGTTTCGAACTGTAGAACGGATATCCTGAGACGTTCCACATGTTGCCGCATGGCAACTCTCACGCATTGCTGTCGCCGCAGCGCCGCCAACTGCGCAGTCGGAGACGCAAAATGAAACTAGAGATAATCTGATACCTACGAGCTTGAGTGCCCAGCTTTTTCTTTGTGCGACCTTGCCCTGCCAGCATTCGTGGTTGCTTGTATCGCTGTAGCGTGTTGCACCTTCTATTGCCGCGACTCTCGTACTATTAGCGCGCCACGTTATCGTCTACTAGCGCGACATCGAGTCGCAATGGCTCCACCGAAGTCGCACATATTCGACGAGGCCGCGATGCCGCGTGGCCCGGCGAACTACGCGCCGCTCACCCCGCTAACCTTCCTCGAGAGGGCGGCGCGGGTCCATCCCGACTCGCCGTCCGTGATCTACGGCCGGCGGCGTTTCACGTGGGCGCAGACCTTCCTCCGCTGCTGCCAGCTCGCCGCGGCGCTGGAGCGCGCGGGTGCGCGGAGATACGAGCGCGTGGCGGTGCTTGCGCCCAACGTGCCAGCAGCGTACGAGGCGCAGTTCGGCGTGCCGCTCGCGGGCGCCGTGCTCGTGTCTGTCAACGCGCGCCTCGACGCCGCATCCGTCGCGCGCATTCTCGCGCACAGCGATAGTAAGGTGTGCCATGTGGTGCCAAGCGGTTTGAATGCGAGAAAATTCCCTCTCCTGCTCCCGCTGCTCTCTCTGCTCCCTCTGTGCTCTCTTGTGTGCACCTCTCACTCTGTTCTCGCGCTCGCCCCTTCCTCCTCTCTCTCGCCACTTCCCTCCGCAACCCTACTCTCACTCCCACCCCCCCTCCCCCATAACATTAATCACACTCTTCCACTCTCGTATTTCCATTCCCCCCTCTCCCACCTCCTCCTTCCTCCATATCTCTCCCCCCCTTCTTTCCCCCACTGCAGATTCTCCTGGTGGACCAACACTTAGCGTCTCTCGCTCTCTCCGCACTCTCCCTCCTCCCAACCACCGTCACTCCCGCCCACATATCCCACGTCCGTCCAAAAATCGTGCTAATAGCGGACGAAGAGGTGCAGTCGTCAGCTGACATGGCGGATCCGGGCGGCGAGCAGGCGGATACAGAGGGGTTGGGAGCGGTGGGGGAGTACGAGGAGTGGATAGCAGCTGTGCCATGCATTGGGCCTGTGTCTGGTTCCCAACTTGCAACTGCCCTAGCTGCTGCTGCCACTGCTGGTGCTGCTGGTGGGGAGGCTTTCGGTGTAGATCACTCAGGTAGTGCCAATACTGCTTATAGTACCGATCCACCCCCGCAATTGCTCCCTCTAGTCGCTGACGTGGCGGATTCCGACTGGTGGGCATCCCACCAACCACAGGACGAGCAGGACCCAATAGCACTCAACTACACCTCAGGCACCACGTCAGCACAGCCTAAGGGTGTTGTTTACTCCCACCGCGGCGCTTACCTAAACGCGCTAAGCGCCGCACTTATGGTGCAGCTGCGCACGCACGCGGTGTTCCTGCTCTCCGTCCCGCTTTTTCACTGCAACGCATGGTGCTTCAGCTGGTCGCTCCCTGCTGTCTCCGGCACGGGCGTGCTTATAAGGAATATGAGTGCTTGCGCGATTTTTGCGGCGGTGGCGGAGAGAGGGGCGGAGGTGATGGTGGGGGTGCCGGTGGTGCTGAACCTTCTTGGTAACCCTGTTGCTTATCCTGCTGGTTACCCCATGCTGTTGCTCATCGTTACCCCACCCTATCTGCCGCACCTCCCCTCTTTCCTCCCCGTTCCCTCCTCGCCTCGCTCCCAGCAACGCCTTATCCTGCTCCCCGGTACTGACAGGAGGTGCCCCTCCCCCAGCAGCCATATTGGCTCAAATGGAACAGCTAGGCTTTGTCTTTATCCATTCATATGGATTAACCGAGACCTATGGCCCGGCCATGTTCTGTGACTGGAAACCTCACTGGGACTCTCTTCCCCTGACCGACCGCGCGAGAATCAAATCTCGGCAGGGTGTGCGGCACATCGGGTTGCAGACTGCTACAGTGGTTGATAATAGGACGCTCCGGCCTGTGCCTATGGACGGTGTGACTATAGGCGAGGTGGTGTTTCGGGGGAATACGGTCATGCGGGGGTATCTGCATGGGAGGGAGGAGACGGCTGCTGCGTTTGCGGGTGGGTGGTTTCACTCGGGAGATCTGGCCGTGGTGCACCCAGATGGGAATGTGGAGATCAAAGACCGTTCTAAGGATATAATCATCTCTGGAGGGGAGAATATAAGCAGTATTGCAGTGGAGGGGGTGTTGTACCGGCATTCTGCAGTGATGGAAGCAGCAGTGGTGGCTAGACCTGATGATAAATGGGGTGAAACACCTTGTGCCTTTGTGGGCCTCAAACCTGGTTACACAGTTACCGGAGGAGCTGCGACTGATGGTGTAACTGATGCTGCCACTGCAGGAGGGGTTGAGATGGTGGGATCTGGGCAGGTGGTATCTGAAGAAGATATCATTCTGTTTTGCCGGGAGCATCTGCCACACTTTATGGCACCCAAGAGCGTTGTTTTCGGCGCGCTGCCCAAGACTGCGACGGGCAAGATCCAAAAGTTTTTGCTGCGGGAGAGAGCAAAGCAGCTAGGCTCGCTGCCTTGGCAGGGGCACAGGAGCAAGCTGTAATATTCAGTGAGAATACAATCATATAGCCTAATGGCACATTGTGCAATCATAGTGGAACCGAATGTTGGCAACCATATATTGGGGTACTTGTTCGCCTAATGGCACATTGTGCCAAGTTCAATCCACTGTTACCATGCCTGACATGTACGTATACATTTCAATGGGCAATGATTACCAAACACTCTGTTATCCACTCACTGTCAGGCGCACTGAAAAGTGGCCAGGTGACTGCCAATGCTGGTAATTATATCGACCGTCCCCCCTCTCCCCGCCACTGCCACAAGCTGTCAAGGGAAGAAGAGAGGAAGCAAAGGGTTGAGAGGGAGCGAGGGCGGAGTGTCGGAGATAGGGCATCGCACACACACACAGTGGAAACGGGGGGGACAGTGACCATTTGATAATTATAAAAAAAAACCCTGCAGGGTTGAGAGGGAGCGAGGGAGGAGCGTCAGAGATAGGGCATCACGCACACAGTGGAAAAGGGGGGGACAGTGAGGAAGGGGAGATGAGAAGAAGAGAGTGAGGAGTGAGAGTGTGAGTGAGAAAGCGTGGAATTGGAGAGGTAGGGTTGGGGAGGAAGTCAGACAGATTTCCTGACACACCAACAGGAGGAGCTGAGGGGAGCACGCAGTGAGAGGCAGAGGCAACTTTCACGCAACAAGGAGCACCTGCCCCTTGTTAAGACGCATCTCCCAACCTCTGCCAACCTCTGGCAACCTCTGGCAACCTCTGGCAACCTCTGGCAACCTCCGCCAACCTGTGGAAACCTGTGGCAACCTGTGGCAACCTGTGGCAACCTGTGGCAACCTGTGGCAACCTGTGGCAACCTGTGGCAGCCTGTGGCAGCCTGTGGCAGCCTGTGGCAGCCTGTGGCAGCCTGTTAAACCCTAAACCCAGCCTGTGGCAGCAACAGGAATTTCACAATCCTGGGAGATCAATGTCTAGAAAGGGGGCCTTATTGTAAAAAGGTGTTGCCACCTGGAAGGGAGGGTGCTACCTGCAAAGGTGTTACCTGGGACGGCGAATGTGAATGGAGGGAGTAGATGGATGGCATGGCCGTGGCAGTTAGTGACTTGAGCTGGCCGGCAAAAGTCAACCGAGTCAACACAGCGCTGGCTCCCGCCACTAGTATCTGATGCGATGCAGAGAGAGAAAGAGCGAGAGGGGCGGCAGCGGGGAAGAGGGAAAGAGGTTATTAGCCACCTCAAGAAAAGTCAACCAAACCAACACAGCGCTGGCTCCTGCCACAAGTAGCTTGTGGCCAGCAGGGAGAGAGAGGGGGAGGTGTGTTGACGGGGGGGAGAGGGAAGGGGAACAGGAGACGGGAGGATGGGAGAGTTGGTGCGGGGAAAAGGGGTAAATGGGGGTGAAGAGGGGTGGAGTGGTGGATGGGTAGGTAAGGCGAGTGGAATCGTTGATATGAAGGATGAAGGGTAGATGTATGCAGTAAGGCGACACATGGGGATGGATATTAAAGAACCTTGCCCATGCCCCCCCCATGCCTCCCCTATGCCTAACTCGCACTTGCCTTCCCCATGCCCCCCACGCCTCACTCATCACTCTTGATGCCCCACCCATGCCTCACCTCATCTACGTCTCTCCCCATGACCACAGGCGCGCCGAAGACACGTGCAGTAGAGCCGGACGATTGGGCACATGACAGCCCTTGCCACATCCCCCATGCCCCGCCCCCATGCCTCGCCCCCATGCCCCGCCCCCATGCCCCGCCCCCATGCCTCGCCCCCATGCCCCGCCCCCATGCCCCGCCCCCATGCCCCACCCATGCCCCCCCCATGCCCCCCCCATCTCTCTCACCTCATCTGCGTCCCTCCCCATGGCCATCGCATGCACTAGTGTGCTCAGAGACACGTGCAGCAGCGCCAGATGACTAGTGCTGTAATTGATTATACAGGTTGGTGTAATTCGGGCCCTTGTCATGGTTTTTCTTAAAGGTTCTGATATTGTGGAAGGAGACGGCAACAAAATGTATCCAGAACCTTTCTTTAAGCGACAATCCGATCATTATGCATGATTGTGCAGCAACAATTTTTGAGTCGTCTAAAAAACAACAATCCCAGCACTAGTCTGACTTTTTTCCATGGTTGTAGTATGGTTAGTTAATTTGGAACAACAATACCAGTTAACCATTAAAAAAAAGTCGGACTAGAGCTGGGATTGCTGCTGCACAACTTTGCGCAATGATCGGATTGTCGCTTAAAGAAATGATTTGGATACATTTCGTAGCCATCTCCTTCCACAAATCAGAACCTTCAAGCAGCACTAATAGCTGAAATTGCACCAACCAGTACAATTGAAACCCTCCCATCTTCTTTCACGCCCTCCCCATGCCATCACCTCATCCGCCGCGTCTCTCATCATGGCCACAGCATGCATTGGTGCGTCAAGAAACATATGGCGCAGAGCCTTATGACTGGGCACAACAAAGACATCTACCATGCCTCACCCAACTCTCACCTCATCTGCGTCTCTCCCCATGGCCACAGCATGCACTGGTGCGCCCAGAGACACGTGCAGCAGCGCAGACGCGGGTGCCTGCAGGGAGAAAAGAGATGCCGTGCCACCGCCCGTGCCACACAACTATGGGCGGCAGAGGAGAGAGCGGACGGGGAGTGGGCGGCAGGGGCGGTAGGGAGGGATGGGAAGGAAGGGAGGGAAAGGGAGGGAGGGATGGTGATGGATGGGATGTCAGAACTATGTGCAAATCGAGAAGAGCAGATGAATGTGAGTCGAATGAAAAGTGCACTTTGTCACAAGATGAGGGAGATGAAACAAATGAACGGGAATGAGGGTGATGACAGAGATGAGAGGGAGGTGAGAGATAAGAGAGATGAGGGAGATAATGGAGAAGGGAACGTGGAGGAAGAAGAAGGGAAGGAGAGGAGTGAGAGAGAGGACTCACCAGCCATGGTGCCGTGGAATCAACTGCCAGACTGCTGACCCAAGGTGAGGAGAGGGGGGAAGAGGATGAAGGAGAGAGGGGTGCTTGGCGCGCAGTGAAGGGGTTGAGACATAGCACTGTGGTGGCTGTGCGGCAATCTGTCGAGTGGGGTGGGAGGAGAGGAGAAGAGGGTGGAGGGGAGAGGTTGAGAGGAGAGGATGCGTGGGGACGATTGGGGGATGAGAAGACAAGGGGATGAGGGCCCATTCGGAAGTGAGGGTTACGTAATGAATTGGTGCTAAGTTGACTGTGAAAGGACTGGTTCAGGGAGATTTTTTTTAGGTCGGGCAGCTGGCAGGTAGGAGGGCCAGAGAAAAGGAGCATCGGGGGATATTAATGAATGAACCTGCCAAGAGCCCCAATCTCATGCCCACCATCCCATGCCCATGCCCATGCACATGCCCATGCACATGCCCATGCCCATGCCCATGCCCATGCCCATGCCCATGCCCATGCCCATGCCCATGCACATGCCCATTCATCATACCCATGCTCGTGTGCACATAGATACCAGTTGGTTCAAACTCTCGCTCATGCCTGCACCACATATGTGCATGCACTAACCCATCCCACCACATCACAGTATGCCACCCCACCCAACCGCCTCACACCCACCCCATACTCGGCACGTGCCATCCTCTGACCCTGTCACTATCTGCACAGCCAGGCAACGAAGAGCGGGGAAGAGAGAAGGTAAGGAGGAGAAAGATAAAGGATGCATGCCTTTCTCGAATATAGGGTGTATACTCAAACGTGCTTTGATTTTGCGTAAGGGGGGGCACCTGGTTGTCTTCTGCCTAGGCCACCTCTGCTGTTCACGCCTGGCGGGGCGTACACTCACCTGGCTCTGTTGTTCTCACCTGATTGTGCTGTGGCCGCGCCACCACACAGTGCAGGTAGTCTGAGTGGCCCCTGAACTCAGCGACCTGCTTCTGAGTATCCTGAAAAAACACATGAGAGGGAGAGCATATAAAAGAAAGCAAGGCACGTGTGTGTGTGAGAGTGGAATAGAGTAAGGTGAAACGTGTTAAATGAGTGCACGAGCCAGCTAGGATACGAAATGAGCTAGCATATCATCCCATCCGACCACCACAGCCCATGCATGGCATGCCATCCACCCACCCACCCATACATGGCATGCCATCCACCCACCCACCCATACATGGCATGCCATCCACCCACCCGCCCATGCATGGCATGCCATCCACCCACCCACCCATACATGGCATGCCATCCACCCACCCACCCATACATGGCATGCCATCCACCCACCCACCCATACATGGCATGCCATCCACCCACCCACCCATACATGGCATGCCATCCACCCACCCACCCATACATGGCATGCCATCCACCCACCCACCCATACATGGCATGCCATCCACCCACCCACCCATACATGGCATGCCATCCACCCACCCACCCATACATGGCATGCCATCCACCCACCCACCCATGCATGGCATGGCAGCCTACCCACCTACCACGTCCCATGCATATGCACAGCCGTTTCCTGTTGCGCTGTAAATGATGTTTCTCTGGGGGGGCCAGAGGAGGGGTGGGGGGCAAGGGAGAGGGTGAGTGGGCGGACGGATGGGGTAGAGCAATAAGATGAGATCAGATGTGGGGACAAAGTGACACGGAGCTGAGGAGAGAAGCAGAGAGGGACGAGTCGAGCCGTGTGGCATCATTGCATTGAGCCTCTTTTAAGAATTCTCACGAGTGACCTTGAAGTGCTGTGAAGCATCAGTGGATCTTCAGGCATTCAGCATGCGCTCTTCTTTGAATGACCATGCACCCTTGTTGCAAGTGCACCACATGCCATGCACAGCATGCACGCACGCATGCACACATGCACACATGCACACATGCCCACACCTGCTCGTCAACATCAATGGCGTTCGTCTCCGGCACCACTACCACGCCCCTTGCAGCAGCCCACGTGGTGGGGGGGTTGACCAGGTCAACGCAGGGGGCCACCTGGGGGGCTGGGAGTTGGATTTTGGCGAGCGCCGGGCGGAGCGGGGTTGTTGGGTTGACCAGGTCAACGCAGGTTTGGACCTTTGACCCAGCACGTTTGAGTACGTGAGCGCTACATTGAACATGCACGTGGCGCCCTGATAGGAGAAACGTGGTTCTTCTGGACACATGAAGAATAGCATCCTGTGAAAACAAGAATCGAGAATAGCAGAGTAAGAGGTGACTTTTGAGTCGACTCAAAAGTCACCTCGTTCTTGACACATGACGAATAGCCTGCTGTAAAAACAAGAATCGAGAATAGCTGAGTAAGAATTGGCATGTGTTTATGGTTGTGACGAGGCTGTGAAGGAGCTGACTTGTGGACATGCTAATTCTTACTCAAGACAAGACTCACCGTGAGCAGGAGAGGATGAGAGGAGGTCGCTCCAACGCCACCCTGCAATGCGGCCGTCGTCCCCACAACTGCCACCTCAGCACGAACAAGCAGTCAGCAGCGCTTTCAGCACTCGCCACGCCACGTATTCGTTCAACAGTAATTACAGAAAATGGAACCGAGGATGGGAACAAAGAAGAAAAAGCTTTCTGTATTCTGCCGCAACCCTAGAAATTAAGATCCTGGGAGTTAGGGCGTTGATGATACCCCTCCCCACCTGAACAGCAGCGGCTGTTTACCCATGGCGCATGACTTGAGCCCAAACGCCGCCCCCTTGTGTGCCTGCACCGCTGCTGCGGGCTGCGCCTCCCCCACCCGCCGCGGCCCCTCCCCCGCTTCCCCCCAAGGCCCGCCGCCGACCTCCCCTGGAGCACGCGCGCGCTGGCCATGCGCGGGGATGGGGGAGGCGGGAAGAGGGGAGGAGGAAGAGTTGGGGATGACTAATGAAGAGGGAAAGGTGGAGGGGAAGGATTGGGGGCAGGGGGAGCGGGGGTTTGGACACACGTAAACGGCACAGAGGAAAGGTTTGAAGGCAGAAGGAAAGGAGGAAGAAATTTCTTTCCCCCTTGGATAGGAACGAGGTCTCCCTCCGCCAATCCGGGAAATTAAGTACCTGCGAGGCGACTAACGAGGCCAGGGAGTGAACCGATACGCGACCGCTGCTCGAGGCACATGCGACGAGCCGCGGCGCTGCTGACGTGGACGGCCATGTTTCGTCCCCCAGCTCTCCAGCTGGCATGCTGACGTGTTCACTCGGAACGAGCAGCGCAGCGTATATCACGCTCCCCCCTAGCTTGCGCTCACGCAAAACACGCTCGGCGTAAGCCGAAGCGTCGTAATTACGACAATCCATGGCGGATGGAGGAGCAGCGAGTGCGGTTCGCTGATTCGAGCTAGCCGTTGGCTGATCGCCATGAACTCCGGGCGGCGAATGCAACACTCGTGCATCGGCATCGTCTGCGGACCATGCATTCCGGTCCTTAGATACGTCTTCATCTCGCCAGTCCTCTCCGTAGTCCACGGCGTCCAAATCCATGGTCTCTCGACTTAAGTGCCTCGCCAGTCTTGTGGTGGTGTCTTCCATCAGATAGTTATTTTAATAAAATAAAAATGTTACAGTCACCTAACAATTCGTACCCGCGTGGCCTAATGGATAAGGCATCTGACTTCTAATCAGAGGATTGTGGGTTCGAGTCCCATCGTGGGTGCGATTTTTATTCCCGACTGCAGGTGCAGGAGAAATGTGTGAAATATTCCTATCTTCAGGGTGCATCTCTGCTGGTTGTGTCAGAGAAATGTGTACTTATTAGACCTACCTCACAAAGAAAGGAATCCAAGCGTTTGCCAAGCTGTAGGTACAGGTCTGTGTCTGGTTCTGCATCACACAAGTGTTTTACATTCCTATTTCCCTATCTTGTTATTAAGCAATCCTCACAAAATGCTCAGGCATTACATGGATCCATAGGTATTCTGTATGGTCTTAAGCCCCAGCTCAAGGGCGTGGAATGAGTACAACTAACACAAAACCCTCCTTTCCCTACTACAGTCTCTAGCTCTATCTAAACAAGTCATGTGAAGATGGTAACCACATCACGGCGGTAACCACGGACCATAAGCAAGCGCGGAATGTTGTTGACGAGCAAGTCCATGTACTCCATGTAGCAATAAGGGGGATGGTTCTGAGGGGGCGGTGGCAGACTGACGAGCACCACAGCAGCCATGCGCGAGTAACGCAGTATAATGGAGTTGAGCTTGATTGTGGTGTAGAGGAACTTATTCACCTTGCTCTCGTCCAGCAGCGAGTGGTGCGTCTCAGCCTCGGGATCCTCGCTCATTCTCTGGGCTATGTTGCGCCGAGCCTGGAGGTGGGGTTGGGATGGGGTGGGGCAGGAGGTGGGATAGGAAGGGATGGGATGGGATGGGATGAAGATTTGAGTGTGAAAAATGAATCCAGGGCGTGAGCTGCAGCATAGACTTGTGACCACACCATCGTTACCAGTAAACCTCGCACCACCCATTTGCAGGACTGTGAATGTACAGGTGAACGTGCAGGGCTTGTCCAAACCCCCACTCAGTGATTGTACTCAGGGTTAGCATCTGTGACCATTCCCACAGCCTATCCTGCATGGCACACTCCTCCCACTCACGTGCGTGAAAGCCTCCATGGCGCCTTGCCGGCCGAGCTCTGCCTCAGCGCACTCAGCATCGGGGTGGCTTTTAAGTCGACTCAAAAGTTGCCTCAGCGCCCTCAGCATCGGACACCACGTCCTCCCATGCCTTCATGGTGATAACCAACCCCAGCACCGCAGACATTCCACCATGACTGTGAATGCAAGGCAAGGGGCACCACCGTACCACTCACCCTCACAGGTGCCTGCATGCCTGGCTGCAATCTGCAACCATTTCCCTGAAGAATCTTGCATGGCACACTCCCACTCACCCGAGTGAAAGCCTCCATGGCGCCTTGCCGGGCGAGCTCTGCCTCTGCGCCCTCAGCATCGGACACGACGTCTTCCCAGGCCTTCATGGTGACAACGATGACGTCAGCCTGCATGCGCAGGTCGTACAGGAACTTGCTCACGTCCAGCTTCAGGTTCTCCGCTCCCGTGTCCTCCTCTGCGATGCAGAACACCTGGGCGCATGCAGAGGAGTGCAGGGGAGTGCAGAGGAGTGCAGTGGGGTGCAGTGGGGTGCAGTGGGGTGCACAGGTGTGCAGGGGTGGAAGGGGAGCAAGATACAGTGGTTATTAGTGCATGAGAGAAGACAGGAACCAGTCGTCTAGGAACTTTCTCACGTTCAGCTTCAGGTTCTCCGCTCCCGTGTCCTCCTCTGCGATGCAGAACACCTGCAGGGGTGCAGAGGAGTGCAAAGGGGTGCATAGGAGTGCAGCAGCATGACTCCTCCATCCTTCCATCTCTCAATAATCAGTACACGTAAAAAGAGCCGCACTGTTTCTAGTACTCCCAACTTCCAGGGTGCTTGCAAGTCAACTGTTTAATAACTTGATACAGGCATTCATGCATGAGAGCAAGACACACACCTGGATCTTGCAGTTCTCGAAGCTTTCTTTGGCTCTGAGCAGCTGCGGCAGCAGCAGCATAAGGCCGCCATCGCGCACAATCCAGTAGAGGTCGATGGTGCCGTACTGCTTCTGGTACTCACCCTTTCAGGATGGGCTTGCAGGTCAACTGACCCGTCAACACATGGCATTTACGCACGAGACACATACCTGGATCTTGCAGTTCTCAAAGCTCTCTTTCGCCCGCAGCAGCTGGGATAGTAGCAGCATGATGCCACCGTCCCTCACGATCCAGTAGAGGTCGATGGTGCCGTACTGCTTCTGGTACTCGCCCGGCCACTCGTCCAGCCCTTTCACAATCACACACGCCTTGTTTGCCGTGTTGCAGTCGTTGATGATGTTCACAAACGTGCCCGGGATGTCCCTGTGGATGACAGACGCGGTGGGGGAGTGAAAGGTGGGGTGCGAAACGAAGCAACAAAGTGGGCACGTGAAGGGAGACAGAAATAGGTTGAGGTGAGAGTGATAGCAAGAGAAACGACTTATGAGGTGACGTACGAACCTTGCAATCTCCGAACGGCTGCTCGCCCTATGAGGTGACTTACAAACCAGGGCAAGTGTCACCTTAACGATGTCCTCACCTCTGGATGTCCTCGCGCCAGATCTCAGGGTAGTGCATGCACACGATGTTGGGCTTGAGAGTGCTTCTAACAACACTAAGAAAAACCCGAAACCTACTCAGATTTAGCTCCTCACCGCTGGATGTCTTCGCGCCAGATCTCAGGGTAGCGCATGCACACGATGTTGGGCTTGAGATTCGCGAGCCCCATGGTCTGCACGGCAATGCGGAAGCCCTCGTTGAGCGAGTCGGCCACGATGGCCTCGGCCACTCCCTCACAGCGCTTGTAGTCGATGTAGCTCAGCAGCAGGTGGCTTGCTGACCGTGCGTCTTCTGCGCGGTCCCTGGATGGGGCAGCGATTGGGGTTGAAAAGTACAAGGGAGTGAGGGGTCGAGGGAGGAAGAGCAGAAATGAGGCCCCTCGTTGAGGGAGTCGGCCACGATGGCCTCGGCCACTTCCTTGCAGCGCTTGTAGTCAATGTAGCTCAGCAGCAGGTGGCTCGCTGACCGTGCATCCTCCTTTAGGTCCCTGGGCGAGTGGGAGAGAAGGCATGATCAAACAAGGAACTGGCCAAGGGTGGGGTCGAAAAGGACAAGAGAGTGGAGCGAGAAAGGGAGGGAGCGAGGGAAGGAGTGAGGAGGTGAGGTGGCGCAGATTCCCTGAAAGAGAGATTTGCGTGGGAGGCAGCAACGGCGGCCTCTGCCACACCCTCTCAGAAGTTGTTTGTGCACACACAAACGCATCTGAAGCGGCCCTCGAGGGTGGTGGCAAAGATGGTCATTCCGCACACCTTCTTCTTCATGCAGTTAGCAAAGTCCGTCCGCCATCTCAAAAGTTGCTTGCAATGCTTGCAATGCTTGCACATATACCCACTCACCTGAAGCGGCCCTCGAGGATGGTGGCGAAGATGGTCATTCCGCGTCCCTTCTTCTTCATGCAGTTGGCAAAATCAGCCAGCTTCGGGTGGCACGGCATGTCGGGAGGCAGGATGCCCCAGGGCTTGCAGAAGATGAGCGGGATGGGGTACCAGTTCTTGGGATGCACCTGACTCGCTGCAGGGGGGAGGGCAGGAAGAAGAGGGCATGGGGTTAGGAGAGAGGAGAGTGGCGAGACAGAACGCCCCAGAACTTGCAGAAGATGAGCGGGATGGGGTACCAGTTCTTGGGATGCACCTGACTCGCTGCAGGGGGGAGGGCAGGAAGAAGAGGGCATGGGGTTAGGAGAGAGGAGAGTGGCGAGACAGAATGCCCCAGAGCTTGCAGAAGATGAGCGGGATGGGGTACCAGTTCTTGGGATGCACCTGACTCGCTGCAGAGCGGCGGGAGGGCGGGCAGGGAACGAGGGAAGGGAGAGAGCGCTAGGAGGACAGAAGGTGGATGGATTAGGAGGGGGAAGAGTGCGGATGGAGAGGGTCAGTTCCAAGACACAATGTCCCAGAGCTTGCAGAAAATGAGCGGGATGGGGTACCAGTTCTTGGGATGCACCTGACTCGCTGTACTGGGGAGAGAGGGCGGGAGGAGAGTGGGGAGAGAAAGCGGGGAGACAGAGAAGGTGGGGAGAGAGTGCGGGTGGGGAGCAGGGATTGTTGTAGCTATTTTGCAGCTATTTGCCTCTGGCTCTTCCCGTTTGCATGTACCCATGGCTGATATAATACAAAGACCCGTTTGAGAAGGTGGGGAGAGAGTGCGGGTGGGGGGGATCAGTCTCAAGACAAATTGTCTCAGGGGAAGCAATGGCGAAGGGGCAAAAGTCAAGTAGATGGCCCTACACTTGTCAGGGCCTTTCTACACCATAAATTCGTTGAGTGAATGCACAGCCTAGCCTAGACTCATACCTCCGAGGAACTTGAGGGAGCGCAGGGCGAGCTGCAGGTAAGCGGACTTGAAGCCATCGCCCCAGTCGCCGGCCTTGCCCTTGAGGCTGACGTAGTAGTAGATGAGCACCGCTAGCAGCAGACACAGCAGCGTGAAGAACCACGATATCATGAACATGATCGCTGCAGGGGGGCCACCAGGGGGAGAAGGGGGGGAAGGAGAGTTTTTTGATGCTCCTGATGAATCGCATGGCTAGCAGCAGGCATAGTAGCGAGAACCACGATATCATGAACGTGATCGCTGCAGGGGGGGCCACAGGGGAAGGGAGAGAGGGAGCATGTGAGGGGGGGATAGCGGAAGAGGTGCGGGAGGGGTTGGTGCAAGGGTGGAGGCAAGGGAGAGGAATCAATCGTTTCATCACATGAGCAGGTGATGGGAGGGCAACACACGCACATGAGAAAGAGGATAGCAGCTGACGAGCGGGGTTATCTTTCGAGAGGATTAATGCCGCAAAAACGCAGAAACAAGAACAAAAAAGTACCCCTCTCCTCCCGCCCTCCCCAAAAAATAGGTTCTTACTAACGCAAAGGACCGCGCCAGCGAGGGCGGTCAGCGTGTGGTGCCACTTCCACCTCGGACGCCACGACGGCGCATCCAGCAAATCCAGCAGGAAGCACGAGAGGTTCACCCCAAGATAGCACAGGAGGAAGAACATAGTAATAACGGGTGTGACATAGTCCACATCTCCGATACACACGAAGCCGGCACAGATGAGGAGCGTGCAGAGCGTGGCGAGGTATGGCTCCTGGTTGTCCTCTGTTTTGAACCAGTCCAGGATGGGGAGAATGTCGTCGTTGGCGATGGCTGTGAGCAGGCGCGGCGCGCTCATAAGGTTCTGCATGGCGGCGCCGAGCGTGGAGAGGATGATGCCGATGTACACCACTGCCGGGGACGGCCATGCCAGGGTGGCTGTGAGCAGCCTGGAGGGGAACGGGAGGGAGGACGGGACGGGAAGGGTATATTTATCAGTGTGTCCGAAGTAGGGGCCGAGGGTTGAAATGATGATGCCGATGTACACCACTGCAAAGACGGCCATGCCACCGTGGCTGTGAGCAGCCAGGCAGGGAATGGGAGGGAGGGCGGCAGGGAACGTATATTTAGGTGTGGTTGAAGTAGGCGCCAAGGGTGGAAAGGATGATGCCGATTTACGGTGTGGCAGTGAGCAGCCGCGCAGGGGAGGAGGGGGGAAAGCAGAGAGGGGAGAGGAAGACGAGGGAGGAGGAGAAGAGGAGAGAAAAGGGAGACGAGATTATTGGTTGAGAGCACACGGACCCTTATCTACTGGCGCTCAATCATCCCACCTTCCTTTCTCGTCTCTCCCTTCCTGGCAACGGGTTGGGTTGCTGAGCACAACTGCTTATGGCACCCTACCCAGAACCCTGAGGCCGTGTCCCTTCTCGTCGTCCCACCAATCAGTCACAACACATGCTCTTTCTCTCTCCCACTTCCCCCACTCGCATCAACCACCCTTATCCCCTCTCCCACTTCCAGTAAGTGAGCAGGAAGCTTACTATATTTGCAAATCCAAACACGAAGGCAGCACGAAGGCAGCAAGAACGCGGAGCACCGTGGTGGTGTCATTGGCCCAGAGCACACACCCTTCCACTCCCTTCACAAAGGCCATGGCACAAGTTGTTCATGGTTTTAAAAGTTGACGGGGAGGGAGTTCTTTGGTCTGGGTTGTGGCGAGAGTTTAGATTTCGTCAAATTCGTTTTTGTTCGCCAAACCCAGCCAGGCATCGTGTATCCTTCTGGTGGGTGGGGTCACGGCTCGATAGTCCCAGATTGCAGGTCGCTTCTTCCAAGTTTGCTAACTCCTAGACATCAAGTTTTTAAAACTTAGACCCGGGTGCTCCGCAATTTGGGACACGGGCTCCCCCCCACCCCCCTCCTCCCTCACTGGTCAGTGAGCAGCAGGTCCCTGAGCGCCACAGAGCCGAACATGAAGAGAACAAACACGAAGAGCAGCGTGGTGGTGCCGATGTCACCCTAGCCAGGACCCCGAGGCCCTGTCCCTTCTCGTCCTACCACCAATCAGTGACACAACACACGCTCTTTCCCACTCGCATCAACCACCCTTATCCCCCCTCGCCCCCCGTCCAGTCACTGAGCAGGAGGCTTACTAATTCTGCAAATCCAAACACTCAGGCAAAAACAACGCAGAGCACCATGGTGTTGTCATTGGCCCAGAGCACACACCCTTCCACTTCCTTCTTAACCTCACCTTCTGCTCCCCCCCACCCCCCTCCTCCCTCCTCCCTCCTCCCTCCTCCCTCACCGATCAGTGAGCAGCAGGTCTCTGAGCGCCACAGAGCCGAACATGAAGACAGCAAACACGTATAGCAGAGTGGTGGTACCAATGGCCCACAGCGTCCCGATGGGAATGGACTTCTGTGTGTCCTTGAGCGACGCCGACCGGTTGCTGCCCGCCATGATGCCTGTGACCGCGGGGTAGAATAGACCCAGCAGCTGACTGCAGGGAGGGAAGGGAGGGGGAGGACGACGGGAGGGAGAAAGGACGTGAAAATCGAGTAGGGATGGACCTGTATGTCCTTGAGCGAGGCCAACAGGTTGCTGCTCGCCATTATGCCCGTTACCGCGGGGTAGAAGAGTCCCAGCAGCTGACTGCAGACGTGCGCCAGTTCCAAGGGAGGGAGGGAAAGGGTTGGACGAAGGGAGAGGGGAGGGACGTGAAAGGAAGAACGAGTAGGAATAGGCTTCTGTGTGACTAGCTAGTTGGCAGCAGGAAGAGGGGCGGGAAGATGGATGTGGATGGAACGCGAAGGGACAATAGGTGTGGAACGAATGGTGAGGGTGGGCCGAACGTGATGAAACGGTGGGTGTGGAGGAAACGCGGAGGGGATGTGAAAAGGCCACAACAGTAGAAAGCACGGAGGGTGGAATGCAAGGGCGCGAGGCTCACGTGAAGCTCCAGTTGAAGTTGCCATTCTCATCAGGAATGCCGTTGGCGTTGGTCTTCTGATAGTCTGACGCCCAGTTGCTTGACAACGTGCTGAGGCTCAGCCCAGTCAGCCCCTCTGTTACCAGGCGCTCGCACGCACACCCCATCACCACACACGTGACAACACACACAGTCGCGTGACAGCCCAAAAACGCACACGCACACGCAGGACACATACAGGCAGACACACGCAAGGTTAGCCATATAGCCTTGTAACAGTATCGCACAGCACGTGCAGAGACAGGGTGGCTGGCATACCTGGGTTGCCGCTGCGGGGAGCAACGATGATTCCAATGAAGATGCAGATGATGGAGAGTATGGAGGGGATGAGGAAGAGCGATTCTCGAGTCAACTTAAAACAAGGAGGCTGGTTGCCAGTACCTGGGCTACCGCTGCAGTTAGGCGGAGAGCCGTACCTGGGCTGCCGCTGCGGGGAGCAACGATGATTCCAATGAAGATGCAGATGATGGCGAGGATGGAGGGGATGAGGAAGAGTGGCCCCACGCGCACGACCACGCGCACGCCCCCCAGCACCACGATGCACAGTGCAACGGTCACGATGACTCCGTACACCTGCATGTCCGCCGTCGACGCCAGCTCCACCGTTGAGTTGGTTGTTGAGTTCACGCCAAACGTCACCTGCTCCGCTGCGCCCCGTGAGGGATTACAGGGCATGAGGGAGGACAGAGTGCGCATGGGGAAAGGACGAGAGATAAGGCTGCAGACACGTCTGTCCAGGATGATACAGGGCATACGGGGAACGAGATCGAGTGGGATGGAGACGAGTGGGAAGGGAGACGGGTTGTTAGACGAGTGGGTGGGCAGGTGGAGGGGATGGGCGGACCACAGGGAAACTCACGTGGAAAGAGGGACATCTGGGGGAGCCAATCCAGCAGCGTTTCGACCGCACCAAGAATGTATCTGAACACGCCGTGGAGAGGGCGAAGGGGGGAGGTGGTGCAGCAGGTCGACGGGGGAGTATGGCGGGGTGAGACAGGCACTTCGAAACGAGGAATCAGCCTTGCGGATGCCTGATTCTAGAATGTACAACTGTACGGAGGTCAAATAACAGTGGCTGACGGAGCGGCTGTGGGGAGCACTTACAGGGAGCCGGCGACTGCATTGCCGAGGAAGAAGCAGAGCCCTATGCTCACTCCCACCTCAGGCCCTAGCGCTCGCCCTATCAGGTAGTAAGGGCCGCCTCCCTGCAGCACGCAACGTGCAAAATGTTAAGACTCAGAAAGGGATCTCCAATCCTCGTCGGAACCTAGATGCCAGCACCAGGAACAGACTGAGCAGACGTGAGACAGCAGAGCGCGCACAGGTTCTCTTCTCTATAACCCTCCCCATTAGAACTGTTCCAAGTGCTTCCGAATTCTTGGACTAATCTAGGCTAAGATATTTTCCGCATGATCCGTGATCACGCTGGTTTAATATGTGTGCGCTGACCCGCAAGTCCCAGGATCCGCAAAATACACTTGAAGGGGACGGTGCTCACCTTCATGGCGCCGTTGGTGGCAATGGCAGAGAGGGATAAGCCCGTGAGGACTGTGCTGAGGCACGTCAGCGCAACCAGCACCAGGCTCTGCCCAATTCCCGCAATACCCACAATCCTGGCAATGTCCAAGCGCGACAGCGACGGAAATACGGGTGTGAGCGGACGTCGTACGTCAGGCGATCAGAGAATGACGGAGAGATAAATGCTGGTATGTGGGGTAGAATATGAAGTGAGCGACATGATGGTTGATTTCGTGGCACTAGGAGCAACAACGGGAACGGCAGTAACCTGTTCGTTGTACGTACCAGGAGAGACGAATGTAGAAGATAATTCCGAGGATGTTTTGAACGCACGGGATGTACACGCCGGTCAGTGTACCCAGCTTTGCTACTTTCATGTTCTGCACAAGACCAGACGCGATCAGGTGCGTTCAGCCACATTACATTCCAAAACAGGTTATGCATTATATGTGACTCATGTCTAATAAAAGCCGATCTGATTCGAAAGTTTTCAACCCAGAAATGCGTGTCGACTTACGACTGTGGAATGGACGTACCCTGTCGGAACCTCGATGAACGTGCATCTCATCGCCGTCACGAGGACTCATGGGATGCTCACCAGCCATCCTGCACGTGCCGGTCAAAAGCCATTAGCCAGGATTTGATAACACATTCGCATGAAATGGCGAATAAGAGGGGAATGCGAATGGAAGAATTGTGGTGAGGTTGCTTGTACCTTCTTACGCCGACAGCATCGACCAGAGGGTCGCTCTCGAAAAGCTCGAGCTTAGAGTCTCTCTCCCTAACAGCACTGACAGGTGCAGGCTCATCCTCTTGTTGTCCATGTTCCATTGATCTGCTGAAGACGATAAATCGAGAATGTCGAAGAAATTAGATAGCAAGGATCATCATGAACTGAAGCCAATTCGATATAGAAATGACAGGAATGGGGTTTTCCGATCGCGTCAATCAGCGACTATCTGAACTGCGTTGTAACTAGGAATGAACAGTACTAACGAATCTAATGCACTATGAGTAGAATGTCGACTATCTTCCACGTCAGCACTTACTCCTCGTCACCATGAAGATCAACGGCGGACATCTCGAGGACTTGTTGCTGACCATCTGTGCCTCTCCCGGATCCACCTCTTTCCGGCTCCATTCCGACCTACCACGCTAGTCGAGTAGCTAGCGTCCACAATAGTCTAACCCACCGAAATTTCCGAAAACGGGAAGCGTAATCTAAACTGCAGACATCTAAGAACAAGGTTCCACGAACATGGAACCAAGGAAACGCGGATCCAGCTGGGAAACTAGTGAAGTAGGTATTGTTTGATAGGCAAACTTCTAGGCTGGCTTCCTGAAAGCTGAATCTTGCAAGACAGCAGCAGTCTCAGGAACTCATGAAGTCATTGTCAGCCAAGCATCACCGAACAGGTCCGGTCCTGTAGGCTTGGCCAATGTCCCATAAGGCTTGGATCTGGGCAGTTGTGAAAAGTCCGAAAGCTCAGGAACTGTCCACCTAACCAACAGATTCAAAGCTGAAGCCTTGCCTCGGAATCAAATGTCCCCGCTTTGACATCGATTTCACCGCATGAGACCCCTGAAAATCAGGCCTGGTGGCGAGCCTGCGAAGCGGAAGGCCTGCCACATTAGAGTTTCCCGCCTGATACGCAGTCATCTGGTTCGTCCAAAATCTCGGTCTGTTTATTAGTAAATCTTAGCCGTCAATTCCCCTGGCAAGTCACATCTTTGTCAGCCCGACTGATCATTTGTGCACACCGAAATTGGGTGCCTGATTCGCTGCTTGTCATTTTATAGCAATGAATAAGCGGAATCCGAAATATATTCTCAATCACTGTTTCCTACGATATCTTCAGAGAAACGAATCACTCTGTAAAGAGCATTGAACTGATGCCCCGGGACGCTTGTTTTCAGGCCCGTCGCATGCGGTCCTATTGGTTCCTTCACGGTCTAACACGGTTCTCCTACATTACTGCTTTCGAACAGAACGTGACGCACAAAAGCATGACACCAAACTTCATACTCAGCGCTCCGCACAGCGCATCTCTCTGTTCCCTGCATTCCTTCTCAAGTAATCGACTTCTGCGCTCGTTACTGTTTCTGTTGCTACCACGGTGGTCCCACCCGCAGTGAGACACCTACTGCCTGGGCGAGTTGGAAACTCCTCGTCACGATGCTTCATCAGAAGCAGTTCGTTCGCAAGACGCGCAAAGGAGCCATACAGCGGGTGCGAAGTGGATGCGTTTCTAGCTTAACGTTGGTAGTCGCTTTGAATCTCCAGAGCCGCGGCGTAGGGTATTCCCAGGATTTGTGTTATGAGCTCCGTAATCTGTATTCTGGCATTGCTTGCAAGAGTTTAGAGACGTTCCTGCAGAAATGTATTCTCAATAGCGGAGCAACGACTCGTTTTGTTCGGAGCGAGTGATTTTTTAGGTAGATGAGATGGAACCGGTTTTAGAGTCAAGGATTTCGGATTTAAGGGTTTCAGGGTACGAGGTTCAGGGTTTGTGTGGAAGCGAAAGCATCGTGCACTTGGATTCCGCGCAAGAATTTTCAAGCACTTATCAGTGGACTCAAACATGAGTTTGAAATGATTACTTGAGATCCACAGATGCACATCTGACTAAATCAACCCTAAATTGTTGAATTTGCATCCCTCCACTTCATTACTCCACCCTTTCCTGCCTGAATCGCTGGCGGCGTCAGGTGGTGCGCGAACATTACCTGCGCGACGACATTCCCTGTGGCGCGCTGCCCTGCGCCAAGTCGCCCGCCACCGCCTGCGACAAAGAATCCGCTCGCCTCTCGCCTAATAACGAAACCATCCTCGTTATAGACACCAACGTCGCCCTGCACCAGGTGAGTTCTGTACCATGCAGGCAGTGCGGCCGGGATTACATTTTATCTGGAACCTGCTGGAACACCACTCCCATACCCTATCCGTGCCATCCCTGCCATCCCCATATCCTCATAGCCTTATAACACCATATCCCCACCTTCATCTCCATAACCACAAAACCTCATAACTCCATATCCCCATAACCACGTAACCCATGACCCCCTAACCCTCCCCGTATCCCCATATCCCCACAACCGCCATATCCCGTTCCCCGTCACCATCCATGCCTCGCAGATCGACCTGTTGGAGAATGCAGCGATCAGCAACGTGGTGGTGGAGGAGGTGAAGTTGGCGCCATATCCCCATGTCCCCATACCCACATGTCCCCATGTCCCCATACCCACATGTCCCCATGTCCCCATACCCACATGTCCCCATGTCCCCATGTCCCCATACCCACATGTCCCCATGTCCCCATGTCCCCATACCCACATACCCACATGAACCCCTAACGCCATGTCCCCACATCCCCATACCCACATGAACCCCTAACGCCATGTCCCCACCCACTGCACCACGCGTGCCTCCCAGATTGACCTGTTAGAGAACGTGGCGATCAGCAACGTGGTGGTGCTGTCGGTGATGCTGGAGGAGGCGATCGTTTTTGACAGCCCCATTTCACGGCACTTCACTTCTCCCCTCGCGATCCCCCAATACAACCCCTATCGCCTTCCTCACCACGCATGCCTTTCAGATCGACCTGTTGGAGAATGCAGCGATCAGCAACGTGGTGGTGCTGTCGGTGGTGCTGGAGGAGGTGAAGAGTCGCAACGTGGCGGTGTATGGCCGCCTCAGGGCGCTCGTGGCGGAAGAGTCACGCCGCTTCTTCGTTTTCTCTAATGAGCACCACAAGTGAGTGGCAGTGTGGCAAGCAGGCAAACATTCCAACGAGCACCACAAGTGAGTGGGCACTTGATGTCCTGTGGCGAAGAGTTTTGGGGCGCCTCAAAAGTGGTGGTGGAGGAGGTGAAGAGTCGCAAGGTGGCGGCGTATGGCGGGCTCAGGGCGCTTGTGGCTGAGGAGTCACGCCGCTTCTTCGTCTTCTCCAATGAGCACCACAAGTGAGTGGCAGTGTGTCAGAAAGACACTCCAACGAGCAGCACTACAAGTGAGCGAGCGAGTGCTTGCAGTCCTGTTTCGAGGCGAGTTAGAAGAGGAGCGGCAGAGTGCCGGGCACAGCATGGCAGGGTCAGGGCGCTCGTGGCGGAGGGAGGAGTCACGCCGCTTCTTCGTCTTCTCCAACGAGAGCACCACAAGTAAGTGTGCACTGCCTTGGTGCCCTACCCGTTCTTGTGCCCATCCTGTTATTTCCCCCCAAAGACCTCTCTCCTGGAAATTCTTCCTTTGAGCCGCAATGTATGCGCGATTTTCACCGACGTGTTTACGTGACATGCTTCCCATCTTCCCTCTAGGACCCCCATCCCAGGCAAATTTCCCAGCAAACTGCAATTCACGCTCGATTTGCGGCGTCATGCTCTAAGGCGCTTTGTAAATACTCTCTTCACCGCAAACAACCCAACCCAACTCATATTCAACGCATTCTAACCCTCCCCGCAGACAACAGCCCGAGCAATCCCTCCACGGAGTCGCAATTCATGCGCGAGTTGCGGCGCCGGCGCGAGGCCCAGTCCTCCAGCAGCCAATCAGACGCTGCCAGCAAGGCACCCGGCGCAGAAGCGGGAGGCGGAGGGGCGGGGGGAAGTGGTGCGGGAGGGGGAGCGGGAATGCGCGACCAGCGGGCGGTTTCTAACGCGCTCAATAGCGAAGGGCTCGAGGTATGGGGGGGGAGGAAGCAGGGCGACGTGATTGAAGAAGTGTTTTGAGACGTCTCAAGGCACCGGGCACAAAGCTTCTGATATGAGGTGCTCTTGGCTTTAGGCACTAAAGGTAGGATAGGGGGCAGGTTAGGTTTCCAAAGTGAAAACAAAAAGGAGGATATGGGAGGGCGTAAGCTGTGGCTGTGAAGCGGAGAGTTGGCTAGAGGGCAATAGAAGTCCTCCTACCCGTTCAGAGCCCTTCAGCACAGCAGCGGAGCGGCTCAAGCAGGGAATGTTCTTTTACCAATACCAACTAGTCGTCTCCTTTTTGTTCCTCCGTTTCCATTCTCTCCACCACTACTTCCATTCTCTGCCTTCCACCCTCCACCCCATCCGCATCTCACACCCACCAGGGCCTGCCGGCACGAGCAGCTGAGCTGCTGAAGCTGGGAGTCTCCTTCTACCTGCCGCTCTGGCCATTTGCTCTCGCCATTATCACTGTCTTCACCGCTATGTACCTGGTAAGTTGTTCTCTTCACCGCTATGTACCTGGTAAGTTGTTCTCTTCACCGCTATGTACCTGGTAAGTTGTTCTCTTCACCGCTATGTACCTGGTAAGATGTTATCTTCACCCACGTTTCCAGTCTGGTCCGGGTAAACCGGCCCTCTTTTTATGCTTCGCTGCTTCGTGAGCCTTTTCCGAAAGGCCATTGTGAGCAGCTGAGCTGCTCACAAAATGGATGGTTATGGTCCATACCCATCCAGTTCAAATCTGAGCTGGCTGTCTCTCGGAGCCTCTGAACAGGCTCTGTTGCATTGCATGGTCTGCATTGTCAAAACTTGATTTCGTTATTGCTGCTCTCTGCACCCTATGCATATTTCTCAAGGGAAGCTAAATCACGCGACTGACTAGGCCTCCTCATTCTGCTGTCATCCTCTTTATTGTGTGACCAGTTCCTGGGTGACTTTGTGCATCCGGGCAAGAGTTACGGCGAGGGCCGGCAACCCCCAAGCTACATCGACCCTTACGCGCTGCTAGAGGAGGAAGAGAAGTACATGGAGCGCATTCCATATGATATGAGCACTTATCTAAAAGATAACTATGACCCGGAGTTGGATGGGTGATGGGATGGGCTACCTACTACCGTACATTGCCCGCTGGAGGAGGAAGAGAAATATAAAGAGAGAATCCTGTATGATACCGTAATACCCCGGATAGTAGCGCATATGCGCTTATAATAAATTCATTTTTTTGAGGGGGGGCGCTTGTAATTGAGTAACGGCCAAGTGCCGGCGCTTTTATAAAGGCAAAACTCAATTTCACTGTAAAGGATATCATTCTGAAGCCCTCAATAAGGCAAATACAACACTGTACCATGCGCGCGGGGTCGTGCATTGAATGACGGCGAAACTAGCTGCACAAAACCCGTTCCGGTGCAACGCACCTGCCAGCGCTGATGCAAAACCTGCCGTGTGGCCCAACCAGGTTGGCATACGCTGCCATGCAGGAGCATCTCGGCAGAACCATCCAGAATGTGACGGAATCTGCTGTGCCAGCGCAGCATGGATGGTGCCCCCAACCCTCCTCTGCGGGTTGAGGCAAGGGTGTACTCGTCTCTCATCGACGAGGACCCCGAGCCGCATGTTGGGCTGAAAAACCCTTAGGATCTTTGCAGGGGTGAACTCTGGGTAGAGTTGGTGTAGTAGCGGAAGCGTCGATTAAAGAGTTGTGAACCACCTTGCACTAGTATGTGAGGGCAAAGTAAGTTGATTAAAACAAAGAGATACAAGCTTTTATAAGAGTACAAGGAATACGAAGAGATACAGTTAATAACCGTTTTATTATTGCTGTTGCGGTTCGATACGGTGACGACTCGGGCAACTGCTCAATACCGAGTCAGTTTTTTGTCCTTGCTGTCGCGCTGTACTTTGTCAGGTCAAAGGTCGCTGACCTTTGACTTTCGCGTAACCTCCAACAGTTACTTTCAACCTCCGAGGGTTGACTCGCCGGTGATTCGTTATACTCCGTTTCTTTTGTGTCTTAGTGTTTCGACACGACAGAGGCGCTTAGGACCGATTGTTTCCAACACTCCCCTTCGCTTCTGGAGTGTCGCTGACGTGGCTCTGTCCAGTCAGCAACATGCAGTATTCGAACTTCTGCTTTCCGAGCTTCTTGGTCAGGTAGTCAGCTGCCATCTCAGACGTGGGACAATATGACAGCTCGAGCCTTCCCTTCTCGATCTCGTCCTTCACGAAGAAATATCGCAGGGCGATGTGTTTCGTCCTGTTTGCGAAGCCGTTCTTGTTGGCGATGCGAATTGCTGACTGGTTGTCGCAGAACAGGGTAAAGTTGGGTAACTCGGCTAACTTCGCTTCTTCCAGCAGCTCGCGAAGATAGAGTCCTTCCTTGGTGGCTGAGCAGAGTGCAATATATTCTGCTTCAGCTGACGAGAGAGCAATTAATTCCTGCTTGCTCGACTGCCAAGAGATAGGTCCGATAGGTTCGAGGCGGTAGATGTAGCCGGTGCGGGAGCGCCTATTGTCGGAGTCGCCAGCGTGATCAGCGTCGACGTAGCCGATTAACTTAGTCGGTGTGGTTGCGTTCTTGTAGTAAGTTAGGCCGATCGTTGGGGTGCTGACGAAGTAGTGAAGAGTGCGGTCGAGCTCCGCCAGATGTTCTGCTTCAGGCTTCTTGAGGTAGGTGGCGAGCTGGCTTGCGGAGTATGAGAGGTCGGGGCGGCAGGTGACGGCTGCGAAGAGAAGACATCCCAGCTTCTTCTGGTAGTCTCGTATGCCGGCGGGCTTGAGTAGAGCGGAGCTTCCTTTGTCGTTCCCTGCCGTGTAGCGGTATGGCGTGGAGATGGCTGTCGGTGTGAGCGTAAAGCGTTTGGCGATGGTGTCGGCATATTTCTCGGCGCTGAGGTAGATCGCGTCCTCCTCTTCCCGGATGTGGAGGCCGAGGTACCGAGTGACGGTAGATGAAACTGTGAGCGTGAGATCTCGCTGCAGCTCCCCTTCGAACCAGGTAGTGATGCCGTCATTCGAGCCGATGTAAAGGAGATCGTCCACGTAGACGATTAGTAGGATGTAGTCGTCGTTTTTTTGTGAGCCGGTACATGCCTTGATCGTGCGGTAGTTGCTTGAAGCCGATGCGGATGAGGCGAGTGTGCAGGTACTGTTGCCACAGTCGCGGAGCCTGCTTGATGCCGTAGAGTGACTTGAGTAGCTGGCAGACTTGGTTGGGTTCTCTGTGGGAGCCGTGCGGTAGCTCGACGAAAATTTCTGCATCAACAGGTGCGTAGAGAAACGCGTTCGCGACGTCAATTTGTCGCAGCTTCTTCTTCTTCATGGCGGCGATTGCGAGGAGAATGCGTAGTGAGGTGTGGCGGCTAACCGGAGCGAAAGTTTCGGTGAAGTCGCGTCCGTGTTCTTGGTCGAAGCCGCGTACAACCCAGCGAGCCTTAAATTTGTCAATGGTGCCGTCAGCCTTTGTCTTCACACGGAAGACCCACTTCCCGGTGAGCACTGTCTTGTTCCGTGCCACGCCGATAGGAACCACTTTCCACGTGTTGCGTTCCTCCAGTGCCTTCAGCTCCTTGTCCATGGCTTCGCACCATTTTTCCTTATGCTCCCCCCCCAGAGCCTGTTGAACCGTCGCAGGCTCTTTAGGAATGGCGGTGCCGTGGACTGCGGTGACGAGTCCGAGATTTTGCAGTCCACTCTGTGAGTAGCGGGGAAGATTTGCATCCTCGGGATAAGCTGCTTCATCTCCCGCTTCTGGATCAGGTATGAAGTTGGGTCCTACTCGTTCTGCTTCGTTGGTGTTGACTGTCGCAGGTGTTACGTAACCGTTGTCGGCGAAATAGTAGAAGGTTTCGGCGTTGACACTTTCGCGAGGGTTATCTTCGTCCATGGGAACGTCCACGGAGCAGAACGGAAGAGGTCCGGCTTCTTCTGATGCGTTGTCCACATTCTGCTCGTCCCAGTCAGCTTCGTCCGTTGCTGAGGCGAAGGCTCGGTCACCGCGAAAACCACCTGTGGGATCCTGGTCTTCTTGCAGGTTGGCAAGGTATGTCTGGAGCGTGAGTCGTTCGTAGAAAATTACATCACGTGCTGCTACTGTTTCCTTGGAATGGACGTCGAAGATTTTCCACGCGTTGTAGTTCTTTTCGATTCCCAGGTGTAGTCCCCACTGTGCTCGTTGAGAAAATCGGCCCGCTCGTGCTGCTGGGGGTCGGTACTGTACCATGCATCCGAATACTCGTAACATTTTTGTGCTGCCCTGTTTCCCTGTCCATAGCAGATGCGGTGATGCATTGTTTGGAAGCGATGATGACGAGAGCAAGTTGTGCAGCATGACGGCGTGGTCCATTGCCGCAGGCCACTGGTGGTTGGGTAGCCGCATGCCACGTAACAGTTTGCGCATGCTGTTCTGCAAGGTCCTGTTCATTCTTTCTGCTACACCTTGCTGCTGATGGGCATAGGGAAGGGAGATGAGCCGCTTGATTCCCCTTTCCGCCAGGTACTGCTTGAATCGCTGAGAGGTGTATTCTCCTCCTCCGTCTGACTGGAAGCTTTTCAGTTTCACGCCCGATTCTCTCTCTGCTACTGGTAGCCAGGCAACGAAGGCTGCGAATGCCATGTCGCGGCTAGGGAGGTTTAGGTGCCAGACGTAACGGGTGGCGGCGTCGATGAAGGTGATTGTATAGTTGTATATTACTTGTCCTGGTTCCCGATTGTACAGGATGTCGCTATACACCTTCTCGAGTGGTGCGTACGCGGGTGCGCTCGGGTTGTGATGAGACGCAAACGGTCGATGTGGTAAGTCACCTTCAGGGCAGGTGAAGCACGTTCCGCGTACTCGTTGAAGTTCTCGTCCGTCGGTCAGTAGGAGTGAGTCCTTGTCGAGTACTCCTGCTCTTATCGTATTGTTTAATACTGTGTTGCTTGGGTGTCCCATCCTTGCGTGCCAGGTGCTTTCGTCGGCGCGATGTCCGGGTGATCGTCGGTACATATCGGAGTTGAAGTAGAAGTTGGCGGTGAAGTTGGTGCTACGATGAACTTCTTGTGGTGCTGGGTGTAGTTGTTGCGCGGGTGTCGGTGGTGTGTCATCGATGAGGAGCGGTGTCGTTGAAGAACCAGCAATTGGTGTTGACGTTCCTGCTGCTGCCGTTGATGGTTCTGCTACTGCCGATGTTGTCTCTGCTGCTGCCGATGTTGTCTCTGTTGCTGCCGATGTTGTCTCTGCTGCTGCCAATGTTGTCTGAATTGTTGCTAACGCCCTTGTTCTTTCTGCTTCAGGGATGGTGTGTGAGTACCAGAAGCCTTCTGGACTGAAGTCTGGATCAAGGTCTGGAGGGTGTGTCCAGTTGGTGAAGTTAACGATGGCGTCGCTGTCGGCGGTGCCAAGATCAGGAACGAAATCAAGAACGAAGACGTTGTTCTTGAGGACCGCTTTGCCGATGTAAAGTCCTCCTCTCCCATGATATAGTTTGAATTCTTGGGTGGTGCTGTCTGCTTCGAGGTGAATCCCTTTCGCCATTAGCTGACTGACGCTCAGTAAGTTGTAGCCGAGTCCCTCTGTGATTAGTACTTTTGACATCTGCAGTATCACGTTTGTTTCCCTTGACTGAAGTTGAACTACGCCTTGTCGTCGTGTTCGCAGGTTCTGATTGTTGGCGACTGTAATGACAACTTCGCGTTGAAGTTGGTGTTCTCGTTGAACGAAGCGTCCCGAGGAGCACATGTGCTGTCCGCAGCAACTGTCCAAGAACCATGTGTCTTTTCCGGATGGTTCGCTTTGGGCGATGGCGGCGTATGTCGGGTTCGGCTGAAGTGACTCGCGGCGGGGTGTGGTTTCGTCGAGTTGTTATTCCGGTGAGTAGTGTGGTGGTGACTCGGTGATGCAGGAGTCATTCAGCTTTGCCATGCAGCTGACGATGTTTCTTGCTCCTTGTGCAGGTTGTCCCGTTGAAGTCGTTGAGGCTTGAATCTGGGTCGTGAGATTTGCTTGCGTTGAGGCGATTTGGCTGCTTGAAGGTCGAAGTTGCCGCTGTGGAGTTGTTGACTGTTGACGATTTGGGCAGTGCATACGCGGGTGTCCTGAAGTTTTGCAGATGTGGCAG